CAGTTAAAAGTAGTAAAGACCTAGCTAGAGAGGTTGACTTTTGTTGGATATGTTTACAATATAATGGGTTGAGATGTTAATCCACAACCTCTTATAAAGAAGAATGAGTTTTGTGCCTATTATGCTATAGGCTTGTTATGGAGCATATTATGAATTTTTAAAATATAAAATAATTAACTCTATGCAAACCCTTTAAAATAAATTCACATATTGAAATACTTGGTAACAGTTGTTTTGCTTGCATTTCTAGTAATAATTATAATTTCTTCCAAGATTTCAACATTAAATTGTTATGTTTATTTTGTCATTATTAAAGTACGTTCTACCTTCATTGAACATTCCTCTTTTTTTATAAGGAACCGATTTGTTAACTGTTTATAATGATTCGATAATGATTAATCAATTAAATGGGAACTACTTGCTTTATTGCTTCATACTTTGATTCGGTTTCGATAACATTACAATTCATGTTGAATCGAATGACGGCATTGTAAAGAAAAAGCGAAAACATGGTTGAGTTTGTGTGTAATAATGAAAGATAAGAAAGAGAGAAGCATGATTTGTGGGAATAAAATTGTAGCTAGCTAGCTAGCTAGGGTCTGATAAAAGAAGTATAATTTCTTATTAAATCCACCGTGAATGGTGTTGATTGATAATATATATATATATATATATATATATATATATATATATATATATAGTGCCAAATGAGGACATGGTACTTTTTGTCCTTTTATTTTCTTTTGGTTGTCTCTCTTGTTGTCCCTAAGGAACAGTTAATTAATGAATGAGATTACATAATATGGACTGGAGTGGGTGGCCTAGGCCCGACAGCCCAAGTCCTTGGAGATTTGTGGAATCATAACGTCGGCAATTAACTTGTAAGAGTGATCAGTCATATGGCCTCCATCCCAATATATGTACTGGTTGGGGTCTGGGCAATGTGCTGCGTTTGGACCACAATCGGGGCAACAAGCTTTGTTGACATTGGTGAACCCTGTGAAACAATAATATATATAATTTGATTAAACCAACAACCAGGCGTACTTTGCTAGCTAATGAAAAGCGTGTGTGTTTGCATTTATTATGGGACAAGAATAAGATACCTTCAGCCTTGGCGTGGTCGAAAAGCCATTGATGTGCGGACCAGATATCGCCGTATATGATACGAGCGTCGGGGTATTCCTTCTTCATCTCCAGAACTGCCTGTTGGACGGCTTTGTTGTGGTTGTTGTGGAATTCTTGCCATTCGGTGCTGCAGAAAACCTTATCATCAACCGGAGCCTGGCTCCAGGGCAAGCATCCACCTTGGTACATTCCGTTTATCAGGAATGTTGTGGCTCCATAACCCATAAGTGTCTGTATGTATGTATGTATGCCAAAATTACTTAGTTAGTTAAAAGTCATTTCATTCGTATAAATGCTTGCTTGCTAGGTAAATGGCATGCCGTCATACTTTAACATATTCTTTTATTTGGTGAACTTCGTCAGGGATGATGAGTTTCCTTTCCACCACGGCAGTGCAATTGCAGTTCTCAGCTCTGATCGCTCGAACATCTTCGGGGTTGACCACTTTCTTTTCCTCCACAGCCAAACATGCGCACCCAGGGCAATGGCACCCGGGAAAGTAGAGCTTAGCATAGTCTATGTTTCCACCGCCAATCACGAACAGAGATGACTTCATGTTGTCCCGACGAACTGCATTGCATGCATGCGTAAATTTCAAATGACGTCCTTTTCTCTATGTATAAATTTGAAAGCAGGATAGCTAGGATACCAGTCTCATCTTTATACATCTCCTTTACAAGCTGGTCGAAGCGTTGGAGTTGAATGTCCATGCTGCTTTGGGAATATGGCAAAGTCACATTCCACTTCAGCCTCTGTTCTTGGGTCAAAAGCCCAGTGCCCCCCACTGCGAAGTTTGCGCCTTTGGAATGATCCAACTTGGTGTTCAGGTCCGGATTGTTAGTCTCAGACAGCCCAGCTGATTCGACTGCATGCATGCGTAACAATTAATAATAATAAATTTCATTTTCACATGCCAAAAACGAGGACAGGAATTAATTAGAGTGAGACATTAATTAAATCATTACTACTACTAATAATAATAATAATATAACAAAATTATATTGATGATAGTACGTGAGCTCATTACCAAAACGATCGATTATGAGGAGGCCATCAGAGAATCTGCCGTTGGGTTTCCCAAATGTCATCCCGTAGGGAAGAAAGTTGGTAATGGAGCCAGGTTTCTCAACATTATTATTCCCAGTATCGTAAATTGAATCTCCAAAACAGTATATTGCTTTGAACCCGCAAGCTTTGAGATCGGATGGGACTGGGGCTGGGGCAGCAGCACTGCATGAATAAGGCTCCAAAACCAGGAGGAGGAGAACAAGCCCAAAAAAAGACAACACTAGACTTTGAGGCAAATGCATCATGTTAATTTACTGATTTATGAGAGAATGGCTAATGATGGCACGAGATTACTGTCCTCTTCTCCTATGGATATTTATATACAATTCACTTGTCACCTTAAGGCAAGAAACGGAAATCCATCAAAAACTCTATGTTTAGTTATTTCTTTATTTAACAAACCAAACAGATAGGTGTATGTGTGGTTAAACTAGCTTTTAGGGTTTTGTTAGATGAGATTTACCCACCACGGTTTCTGTGATTTAGAGGAGGAAAATACTTGGACATGTGGCGAAGATGGCGAACCTCGTAAAATAGTAATTTTGACACCTTTCATTTTGTTTCCACTTAATTCACCACTACGTGTCATGTGTAAAGTATTTTTTGTTATTTATACCAACATTTCATCTTCACTCTTTAAACAAAGTATTTGCTAACTAGGTGATGAGAAAATCAAGTCGGTGACCACGTATTCTTTAATATCCAACTAATAACCGCAGAAACTCTTACATGTTAATTTCCTCCTTTTATTTATGTGTTTTGCTTGTATTTTCCGTATTGAATTCCCTCTAGCTATGTGCCTTCTTTCCTACGAGGTTGGGGTTAGTTATCTTATTTTCAGAGCCTATACATGAAAGGAGCTGATCGGCAGTTGATTTGAGAGAGAATAGAGGAGAAATGGAGTGTCTAAAAGAAGCCAAAGTCTAAGAGAATTTTAAAACACAACGTGTTTTTGAAATACTAATCTATGTGACATTATTTAAGAAAAACGATCTCAAATGACGGAAACACGATACCATTTTGCTAATCAAGCCATGCTTTCAAGGTAGACTATGGATTTAGAGAGGAAGACCCTTTTTAGGAGAGTATCTTTTGAAGTGAGAAATTGCCCTTTGATAATGTATAAAGAGAGAAGGAGAGTATCTTGTAGAGCTTTTGGGTTGATTTCTATAAAATCTAAAAGATTTGGAGGACATAGATTGGAGTAAGAAAGTGAAAAACAAGAATGACAAGAATAGTTTGAACACGAGCATTTAATATTTCTTGTATTGGTGTAACTTTCTCCCCTCTTTCTGTATGAACTAAGTTTCTTGAGTTAGTTATATATTGAGCTCTCCAAATAGGGTTTCACCACCATATCAGGGATAAATCTTTATCATAGTCTACCTTGTATTACTTGTCCTTAGCTTATTAGTAGTCTTTGTACTTGTGTATCTACAACTCATGTAACTTTATGAATACTTATGTAGATAATAATACAAAACACGATTTTCATAGCTATTACATGATATTCGAGCAAAAAGCTTAAAACCCTAGTTATCATCTCTTCAATCCTCGCATAATCATTTCCTTGAGCCTAATGTAGCTACGTTCAACAAAGAGGCTTTTGTTCCGCTCAAGCTTACAACGATAAATGCTCCCTCATGAAGCTCTTCCCTCTACTTCATGGTCTTGATCTAGTTAGCTATCTCGGTGGCTCCGTTCAGGCTCCAACTCAACGTATTCTTGTCAACAACATCAAAGTTAGGAATCTAGCTTATAATCACTGGTTTTTTCAATATACATTACTTTTGAATTAATGGTCCCTTTTCACATGTGAGTGAAGTTATTTGTCCCGTCATCATGGCCGCTTCTAGTTCTCATCAGTCATGGGTTATTCTTAAATAAACCTATGTTGGTTCTTCTCAAACACGAATTATGATGTGGCATGATTGTCTTCACGATGAAAATATAGGGTTATTCTTCAATGAACCTACATCCAATACTTTCACTCTATTACCTCTGAGTTAGAGATTGTTGATGAAATTATCAGCAATCAAGAGCTTTTACCCATCTGTCTTTGTGGTCTTAGACTCGATTATCATAAATTCTCTTGAAGTTGATTTTTTCACCAATAGTCAGCCTCTTGAAGACCCGCCCATCACCGCCTATAATACTCATGCGGACGTGGTCATGGGTCATGACAACCAAGTTGGCTCTTCTAGTGGTAGTGGAGGTTGTAGCTCTAACGGCCATCCTGATCCTTCTTCATCTAACTCATCATTCTCATGAGACCAACATTCTCATGGTGGTGGTGAGGATTTCTATCATGATGTTTGTATTTATTGTCAATATTTTGAGAAGGGGTTAATACCTTAGTTTGGCGCGAACTACACACAAACTTCTACTTTGGTCCGTGGTTTCTGAAATTACTATCCTGACCTAAACTATGTATCATACTTCCTAACTTGGCCCAAAGCCGGATTTGACCGTCTAATTGGACGGTTGACTGTTAGTTAATGGCCAGCTCACTTGCCATGTCAGCGGACACAAAATAAAAAAAAAATGTATTCATTTTCTTTTCTAATAATAATAAACATAAAAAATTAAAAAAATCAATTTATCTCCTCCCCTCTCTCCTTAATCGGGATCGGGAAAAACCATTCCTCAAACCCCCTTCTTCCCCAAAATCCAAATCCATCCTCCTTCCCTTCTCCTCCGCCGCCGGCAACCCTCCCTGTTTCTACTCCAACGCTTCCACCTCTCTCTGTCGCGCCGGATTCTCCGTCGCCCTATAAATTCTCGTACGTGGGATCTTTCTCCACTCCTCCCTTGTCCCCTACCGCCGAGACCCCAAAACTTTATTCCTAATCCCACTCCAAGAGTCCTGAGAAACTGTTAGCCGAATCGGCCCCTGAAACCCTCACCAGCGTTGTCATCTAGTTGGGATTTTTGAAGATTGCCGAAAAGGTACTTGAAGAAGGTCTCAAGGTTGAGATCCCGGCCCCTATGGTGGTGCAAAATGTTCAAATGCTTGAGCTCGTGAAGACTGTTGATGGCAGCTTGGGCTTCCTCCAGGGTGGCATTCTCCTGCTTCTGGACCTCGACCAAGAAGCGGCGGAGGTGATCAGCCGACATGAGCCCATTATCGGAGTAGCGGTGGAAGAAGCCCTGAATCTCATCCGGGGCCGCGGCGACTGCGAGCTTGAACCGACGGCGGAAGCAAAAGCAGACTCTGTAAGTCTGCCTGGACTTTGTATGGATCGCTCTCACCTTCCGCAGATGATTTGGGAGAGAATTGGAGAGGTTTCGGGTACACAGTGAGAAGAAGAAAGAAAATGGAAGAGATGAGGCCACTGTGGAATAAATTAATTTAAAATGAAAATAGCATATTCCTGTGAAGATTGGGAGGGAGGGGATAAATGAGATTTTTAATTTTTTTTGTTTATTATTATTAGAAAAAGAAAGTGAATATAGAAACAAAAAAATAAATTTTTTATTCTGTACTCGCTGACGTGGCAAGTGAGATGGCCATTGACTAACGGTCAACTGAGTTGACCGCCCAATTTGACGGTCAAACCCGACTTCGGGCCAAGTTAGGAAGTATGGTACATAGTTCAGACCATGATAGCAATTTCGGAAACCATTGGCCAAAGTAAAAAGTTTGTGTATAGTTCAGGCCAAACTAAGGTATTAACCCTTTGAGAAGCCATGCCATACTTCCAAGCAATGCTTTCATCTTTGTGCTTATAAACGTCCATGCAAGCCAACTACACTACTCATGCCTCACAACCTCAACTCTAATTGAAGAATCTTGGCTTGTACGCTTGGCATCCACACATCGTGTGACAAACAATCTCAACAATCTTGCTCTTTACTCGGAATTATAATTGTCCGGAAGAGGTTTTTCTTGATGATGCCTAGGTTTGCATCACTCATATTGGTTCCATATCTCAATCTATCGAAGGATCACAATTCCTAGCATTTGGAAAGCATAACAATGCTTTACATAGAGATTGGAATCACAATAGATAGTGGTCCATAAGAATCCACACTCTAGTATTTTCCTTGAAGTGTTGTTGCCACTATGATGCCCTCTTGCTTGTCCCGAATGGTAATGAGGTACTATGTCTGTTGATTCTTTAAGCGAGACATCTCCTAATTATGTTGTCTAAACCAATTCGATAGAGAGATGGATCATATCATAAGAAATACTTAAAGTCAACGATAAATGTCTTCTTTTCTTTGTATGATAGCCCATCTAGTAACTCTTTAGAACATAATGGTAGGCTATATCAGCAAATCATGGGCCTTGATCCCTTTCCAGGGCTACAACTTTGAGTTGTTCATCGGGAAATGAATCATTAATCTCTTTGCCTGGTGGTTGTGCATCCTTGGCTTCTTCTAGATGGGATAAATGGTCCGCTACCATATTCTCTGCTCCTTTTTTGTCTCTTAACTCAATGTCAAATTGTTGGAGTAGTAGTATCCAACATATGAGTCTCAATTTTGCATCAGTCTTGGACATCAAATGTCGTACTGCTTGATAATCAGTGAAGACCAGTGTTTTGGCCATCACTATACAAGGTAAGAATTTTATCTAATGCAAATATGACTGCTAGCAGCTTGACTCGCTAAAACACAACTCCTAATAATGGCCAAGTGTAAACACTAAAAGATATTGCAGTATAGTGACACAAGTAATAAATATCGAACCCATGGGTTTCTAGAGTTACAATTATTCAACTTCAGTTTATTATCTAACAAATCATATTAAGGATTGATTAACTAAACTACTGTACAAGCTAAACTAGGTTAGACTACTAATTACAAGTTAGAAACTCACTTAGGTATGATTCTCCCTCACTACTAGCCAAATTAATGATCGATAATCTATAAATTGATTCACTTTCATTCACAATGAGAAGATTCCTTGACTAGACCTTGAATCTCGACTAAAGAAATCAAGACCCTCTTGAGTCGATTGACTAGAGGGACGTATCCTTTTCTAGATCAACTGATCAAGGAGTTTTACACTAGACTCCCTCTATCGAACGAGGTTCTAAATCAATACATAGAAATGAATTGGATCACTATTCATTTAATCGATCCCCTACTTCCAATCTATGGTGCTCTATTGACTTAATCATATTTTCTCTCTCATAGAATCAAAGCAGAATCAATAATCTTGACTAAAGTAGAACTGAATATCCAAACATGCATAGATTGAATATGAATTCAAGATAATCAAGAGAGAGTGCTCATACAATTATCCAATCAAACAAATATAGCTAGGGTTCCTCAAAACCTAAGTGAAGAGATGTTACTGCATAGAGAAGATGTCTAGAGAATGCAGAAATCTGATCTAGATCTTCAATTTCCATCTCCAAGCTTGATTTCCGAGCTCCAATGGTGAAGAAATCCCCCAAAATAGCTCCAAGAATGATCCCAAATTTCTCTCTCTATGGTTCGTCCCTTGAGTGTTTGAGATCCAAAATCCAGATCTCCCCTTCAAAAATTAAAGAAAAAATGCACTTATACTCGAGTATGGAAAAGAAACACAAGCATGAAAATGATCGTGTTTCTTAGCCCGTGTTTCAGCCTAGCCCGTGTTTCTTATTGACACCTAAAGCATGGGCTCAAGAGGAAAAAACGCGGTCGCATTTCTCCAGCCCGTGTTTCTTCCTCTGATCCACTTTTGAGTGGCTTTTGAGTGACCAAGCGACCTCCGATTGACCTGAAACTTGTGCATATGCCTCCCTTTCATGTACTAAGTCATGAAATACATCAAATGATCAAAACATAGCACAAAATGGGCACATGATACATGTTTTCAAGTCAATCAATGAAGAAATGAGGATAAAACATGTGTAATTTAGCCCGAATCACAGCTCCTTCTCTGTGGTGGTATAGTTTCTCTAGGCTTCATTGACCGTTATGCTTGCATAATAAATAGGGTGAAACCTCTTATATTTGTTTTTTCCAAGCATTGCTCCTAGTGCATAGTCACTGGCATCACACGTCAATTCAAAGTTTAATGACCAATGTAGTGATGTGAGGATAGGTGCTTCTGTCAGGTTCCTTTTGAGTAGTTCAATGCTGCTAGGCAGTGTACATCTATTTGGGACACTGCTTCCTTCTCCAAAAACATAGTCAATGGTTGAGAAATTCTTGATGAAGCACTGATAGAATCCCACATGCCCTAGGAAATTTCTTATTATCTTAGTTGATATTGGGGGGGGGGGGTGAAAGGTTGGTTGTGGTCTCGATCTTTACTTGATCCACCTCAATTGCCTTACTTGATATCTTGTGCCCTACAAGATTCTTTCTTTGACCATGAAGTAGCTCTTCTTCCAACTCATAGCTAGGATTGTTTCTTCACATCGGATTAGTACTTTCTCTAGATTCTTTAAGCAATGATCGAATGGATCACCATAGACTTAGAAATTGTCAATAAATACAAATATGATGTCGTCTAAGAAGTCAGCAAAAAATATTGCCATACATTTTTAAAAGTTGCCGGTACAGTATATAGTTCAAATTGAATTATGCGATAGGCAAAGGAGCCGTAGGGATATGTAAAGGTTGTTTTCTCTTGATCTTCAGGTGCTATTGGGATTTGTAAGTATCCTAACATACCGTCGAGGAAACATTAGAATCCATGTCCATCCAATTTCTCTAGCTTCTGGTTGATGATAGGTAGAAGGAAATGATATTCCCTTATAGCATCATTTAGCTTTCTATAATTAATGCATAACCTCACAATAACAGTTCTTGTAGGTATGAGTTCTCCACTACCGTTAGGCACTATTGTCATTCCTCTTTTCTTTGGAACAACTTGTGTTGGCTTCACCAACTTGTTATCTGATATGGGATAGATGATTCCTGCTATTAATAACTTCATAGACTCCCTCTTTACGACTTCCTTTAAGTGGGGATTTAGTCTTAGTTGGGTTGCACCACTGGCTTGTGATTGTATACCATTAAGATCTTGTGGGTGCAGAAGAAAGGATTAATTCCTTTGATATCTGTTATCTTCCAAGCTATGGCTTTGTTATGCTTCTTCAGTAGGGTTATCAATCTTTCCTTATGTTCTGATGATATTGATGAATTAACAATGATTGGTAGCTTTCCATCTTCTACCAAGAATGCATACCCCAGATCTTCTGGTAGTGCCTAAATCTCCATATCACGTGGTTCTTCGTATGATGTCTTGATTGCTGGTAGAGGGGTTTTCTAAATTACTAGTGGCTCTAGTGCATCTTCATCTGATGGTTCATTCACTCCTAGTTGAGGATGATCTAGCTCTTTAAGGTATCTATCTTCTCCATTTAGTAGGCATTGTTCAAGTGGATCATCAGACTTCAGATCGGTTATCGAGCATATAAGGCAGCTTTCCACCTTCTTCCAAGAATGCATACTCCTTATCTTTTGCTAATTCCTTCATCTCTAAATCAAGAAGTTTTTCGGATGATGTCTGGAAGAGGGGGTGTCTAGATTATTGGTGGCTCTGGTGCTTTTTCATTTGGTGGTTCATTCACTCCTGGTTGAGTTTGATCTAGCTCTTTATGGTATTTATCTTCTCCATTTCGTAGGCATTATTCAAGTGGATCATCAGAATTCAAATCGGCTATCGAGCATATGGGTTCTAGATCATCCATTCCTTTGAAATCGTTCTCCTCCCATGTTGAGTAAACATGTTTTATTCCTTTTCTTTGATAAAATGTTTTTGTATTTTACCTTGTTCATACAAACCAGATGATAAAACTATACATACCATACATACTATACATACAAGATTTACAAACAATACAAACTAGAACGACAAACCATAAAAATTATACAAACTATACAAACTAGACTTAGAGACAATACAAAATGGAAAAACAACTAGGTTGACTATGGATGCTCCGTCCGATCGTCCCTATATAGAGGAGTTTCATCCTAAAGTCAATCAAGTTGTTTTTAGGACATACAAACATTACAAACATGCTGGACAAAAATGACAAACCATGCAAACTAGATTTACAAACCATAGATAATGGAAAACAACCAGGTTGACTTTGGACACTCCAACTCTATATAGAGGAGCTTCATCCCACAGTCAACTAGGTTGTTTTTCAATCATATAAATATTACAAACATGGTAGAGAAAAATGTTCGAGCTTAAAAAAAACCCAACAAACATTACTAACCTTTTAAAACCAATAAATATAAAATAATAAATACAAACTAGGTTGTTTTTCAGTCATATATAAATATTACAAACATGGTAGAGAAAAATGACGAAACTTACAAAAGAAACCATCAAACATACTAACCTTACAAAACCAATAAATATAAAATAATAAATACAAACTATGCAAACCACTACATAAAATA